TTTCACAACGTACTTTTTGGATTTCTGTCCCAATAAGTATCGCCTCCAGGCCATGCGCTTTCGATTGACTTTCGATTAATTATTGAAATCCGTTCATCCGGCTAGGAAGAGTTTTCCGGAATGACTGACATGATGACAGATTAGCCTCTTATGTACTCGTATATGGATACCCTAATGTACGTGGGTGGGTCAATACTAACCTGCACTTTCTGCTCAAGAAAATAAACATGGTAGAAAGGAGTCTGAACGCCAAATATGACAGGTAACCCCAAACATCAATACTATTTACGGCAAGATCGGCAACTCTTGCGCATGCGCAACTCAGTGTAAATAACATGGTGCCTGATGTTATATTCTCCGGTTAAATAGCGTTGCATAATACAATTTTACGCGAATAAGCATGTGAAGGATGTTGATATTTTCCGAAGATGACAAGCACACTTCATTTAAGACTGTCGTCTTAAATGCAAGAAAGTGCAAGAAATTAACAAAGCGGCCAAGACTCCTTAACAATTCCTTGAGCGTGGCCATCAATATGTGACAGTCTCGAATCCTATGAACATCCGGCAAATCGAACAAAATATTCTGGAAAATCGTTGCGTTATCGTGCAAGATGTTGCAGTTGAACTAAACATGAACATTGGGAGTGCCGAAAGCCGCATCCACAGGCACTTCAAGTTCAAAGAGATGACTGCGAGATGGGTACCAAGAGAACTGACACTCGACCAGAGAGCTAAACGAGCAATCGCCCCGTCGAACTCGTTTCAACCACTATGAACGAAAGCCGCATCCACAGGCACTTCAAGTTCAAAGAGATGACTGCGAGATGGGTACCAAGAGAACTGACACTCGACCAGAGAGCTAAACGAGCAATCGCCCCGAGCTTGAGCAAAGTTGGTGATACTTCTGAGACTGCCTACTACCTAAGCCCTACCTGCACCTAAGTAGTGAATTGCGGCCATAATTTTGCGAGTTCGGACGTTACCACTGTAAGGCATGACGGAGCTGTGAAGAAATTTATGGCAACGACGAAGTGGTGATTTGGCTGCGCACTTGACCACAGGCATTCTAATGCCTCTGGGTTTCAAGCGCTGCCAAAGCGATGTGACAAGTACGTTCGTGTAGGAGGGGAATACCTGGGGAAGGAGGCGTATCTTCATAGAGGTCAGGTGTACCATAGATTTTCTCGACAAAAAAGTGCAGGTGAGTATTGAATCACCATCCTATGTTTGCATGCCGGGTTGCGACGTTAAGGAGGTTGTCAATTGTCGACTGACATGATACAATTTACAGAACCAGAAAGTGTCAAAGATTCAGGTCTCGAGTGGTACCAACTGCCCCATACCCGTCCCGAATTATTCTTTCTTTTATTTATATTCATGGCGACACAATTCAGTATTTTCCTTCTCTCGGATTACATGCACGGATAAGATTATAGTAGTGAAACTAAGTTTCCATGGTCTCAGACCTGAGGAACGATAACATTTAAAAATTAAAATGTAAAATTCGGCCCTATCCGGCCGGACCTGAAGTAGGATCTCGAAAAGTTCGACCCTAGACGGCAAGTCCGGTCTGGTCCGGTCGGCTCGATCGCCTCGACCGGACCAGACGAGATAGGGATTCATCAAGGATGAAATTACACATTCTCATTCAGATGAATTTTCTGCCCTGACTAGTGTTGGACCCCAGCGTTAGCACTTACTCAACCAAGAAGTAAGGAGCTCAGAAAGTGTTTCCATGAGCCTTTAGTTTATCGGAGGGATACGAGGATATGAGCTTATCCTGCCTGGGAAATGTTTTTATTCTGTAGCGAGAGGCAGCATTGATTTATGGACGGGACTAAATTTGTTCCCGTCGCGTGCAAGGTTAGGCTCGGAGGAAAAGCCAATGAGGCCGTCATCTAATTATTCATGAGTATGACATAAAAGTTGCAACAGTCCTCGACGTAATATCTCTCCTTCGAAATCTACATTAACGACCTTACAGTCTAGTTTCGAAATTGTGGCTCCTCGAAAAGACTAAGAATCGATCGAATTCAACCTGACCAAAATGAAGTCATTGCTCTTTCTTTCAACGGAATCCTTCGAATCGGAGATGAGTGGAAAGTAGATCGGTTCCCGGTTTCGTTTCTTGGCTTGGAGCGAAAGGCGACCATGCTCTCTATTCCGTTTTCAGCATGCATCAACGGAAATTATCGATCAAAATATGCCTATTATGGATTCGCGTTACCTCCAATGATTTTTACGTTCTTTTCACGAATCTTAAAGCCATGTTTACATTACATTTTGACTCTAACTTGTATCTAGCGAAAATATACATATTTCGTCATTGCTCAAGATGAAATGAAGATGCATCTAGGGATCATGAGTTACGCAAATCCCTTGGACATGAATGCGCAAAAACGCTCATGATTCCTTTTTATAATTGAGAAATAGAACAGTTAACGTATCTAGTTCTATTTCTTGTTGCTATTTATATTTAATTCGATTTTGTCCAGTTCCGCGCCCAATTTAATTCATCGAAGGCTAAATTCATCATCTTTGCAAATCAGGAAAACGAGTGGAATTGCCTCGTCAGTGAATCCATGACATAGTTTACCTTTTAAGCTCTTGCTCTAGTTTTGCTTCCTTCTATTTCGGAGCTTCATCCCACACGATTCTTACTGTGTTCTGTGCCAAATCGCATTTTATTAAACTTCAATTGTCAGTCGCGTCCATAAAATTAGGTTAGTTTAGATTTCCAGTGTTCAGACATGTGTAATATGGAAACTATGCATCTAAAGCTGTAGTATATGATATGAACACCAGTGGAACCATAGAGAAGAGGAATGTAGCGTTATCGAATACGGCCACCGGCATTAACCCGATATATACATTTGCTACATTTACGTAATGTGACCTTGCTTCATGTCTCCGATTGCTTGCACTCGGGATATGGACGATTGACCGAAGCTGTTCAACATTCAAATTGGCCACATGAGCCGAAAATTTTCTAACAAGTTCGCCCGACCTCACCCAAGCATACTTTTAGCTTTGGGGATGTCAGGTATGTTGTGTATCGTGCGACACCTGCCACCTTATTGACCACAAACATGTGTAAAAGCATTTGAACAGTTGTACAGTTGCATAAGAGCCAGACCTGATTGTGTTTTGACACGAATGCTCGTCACCCCTAGCCCCAAACTTGAACTTTCAATATCTGATGTGCGAACGATGGTGAGTTATACGATGTATAATATATTGAATCGTATGTTGATCCTTTTTCGTTCACCTCACTCCGAACAATGATTATCATTTTCATTAATTCGCTCCCTCGCGCCCATAGTCCTTTTGTTTTTTTTGTGTAGCACTGTATATCAAGATATTCAATGATTATGAAGCGACGTCAAAAAAAGTAATTATTTAGTAATGATGCCATCTTAATTCACATGTTCTTATGTCGTTATTCACGTCATTGCCTAAAAGATTTTGGAAAAAGACTTCCAAATTCCGAAAAATAAGTTCACTTTTAAATTCCCCTTGAATTGAAGAGTGAATCGGCGAGGCGGCAATCAATTACCGTTTCTCGTAGCAGGAACGGCAGTTTCCCCAGGACACCGCCATAAATATTCAATAGTGGTTACATACAGGACCTAGGTCAGGTGGTAACGCTAGCAACAGATCGATCCGTTGCCATCGCTTCGCAGGTCGATGACGCCGATGGTCGCAACAGATTGTAACATGCTTTAGCGGTACTCTGCGATGCATTTGCCCTCAGCCCATAAAACTGCAAGCATGCAGTTATTTAGGGCTTCCGATTTCGACGTTTTACGGTTAATGGGCTTAGTCTTTCTCCTGTTATCCTCAGGGGTTAAATGCCAGACCCTCTGCCCCTCCTCCGAAGCGATTGCACCGTGCATATGTTCATCTGACGATGGGGTTGATTGCTCGAGAGCAAGCGGTAGTGAGGAGATATTTTCCGCTTTCAACGACGTCTTCTGGCCCAACACTCAACAGACGTGAGTGAACGATTGCGAATTTTTCGCTGGGTAATCTCATTCTGCAAAATATAATTATGTTGCTGTCAGAAAATGTATGGACTGAGAACGGAAGAGTGACGAGACTGGAAAATGACGTGCGAATGTTGACGTTATAAATGCTTACTTCATGGGCAGGTACGTGTAGGGGCCGAATGCACTTGCCGAAGCCTTTCAAGCTTCTCCAAGTACTACCAAGCGGCTAGGCATAGTGTTCCTCTACCCTCCTTTCTTGTCCAAGTAAGACGCCAGATCCGGCACCCTTACAAAACGTCCTCCTGCATCCACCTGTCCGAACGATTAGGTGAATATGAGGAAGATTTGGAGGTTCGCGCACGTGTTCCTCGAGCCAAGTGGATCTTCCCTCTATGATGAGTTTTTAGCCTGGTGGAAATCGCTCCGACAGGTGTTCGAAGAGCTCGAAACTCTTCACGTATTCTGAGCCTTGACAGCACGGATCGGCAATGTTACACGTCTCGGCCATGTAACATTCATATGCTAGCATGTGCAATGGCTTTCCCAGGCATGCGCGCTCTACTCGGGTTCGGGTAGGTCTTTCCGCAGGCCTACTCGAGTCTCGTAGCACGAGTCGGGTTTTCTTACGCCTTTCCGGTCTTTAAATGAGAAAGTATGTTAGAAAAGGGTTAGAAAACCCAACGCCGGAGCCGACGTTGGGAAGAATGAAAGACTAAAGTACTACTATGGGACTGAAATAATGCAAAAAGGGAAAGTCTAAGTAAGGGAGTCCCTTTTTCAAAGCTTCGCTTGAATAAAAATTTTAATACTTTTTGTTCCATAGAAAAAGGGAAATTTTGGAAGTGAAAATTTCCTGTACAGGTGCAGTTCTCTTGGTGATTATTTTTTTAATTACATTTTTTACTTTAGGATTCATCTCACCAGGACGTATTATTGGTGGGGACATATTTCCAGCTATTTAATGATTTTAATAAATTGGGGTTGATGTAGGAATCTGGAAAGCAAGTTGTTCTTGGGATATTGATTTAAAGGAAAACCCAATTTTTGAAGCATATCTCCTCAGGACAAACTTTTTCTGAGGGACGTTTTCAAGAAAGCCTTTTTGGCTTAATTGAAATGTGCAGATATAGAAATGTAAAATTCGCTGATTTTGTAGTTCCTGTGGTAGTGATTTAGGGAAAGATTCTAAGTACAGGATTATCGCATGAGGGCACTTTTTCTGATTGGGAATTACTATACTGAATTGTTTCGCTCCAAAGAAACGGAGTGACTTTGATATCTGAAACTTGATATAAGGGTAAATTTTAGATGGAGATGTAATCACTCTTTTGGAATTCGTTCCGGCGGGGGGAGGGGCAACCAGGGTAATGTTTACAATTAAGCTTTTTTTCCAGTGAAACAGGAACATTAATTAAGCTGAAATTCTGTTAACATGTAGTTCTACAAAAGATAGCTTCAAGAAAGCCCAAACTTTAGGTCGTTCCATTGGCGGATGCATTTTTAAACGAGGACTTTTTAAGGAAAATGTTCACTGCAGTGATTCGGGTAACTACAGGCATCTGAAACATGGTATATAAATATTTATTGGGTCCACACTTGCACAAGACATTTTACTTCTTGGAAATATTACATTCGGAATTTTTTAAATTCCCAAAATGAGACTTTCACGGGAATGAAGTCAAATTACTATCGCCTGACGAAAGCGGAAGATTGTTTTCAGGTCTATCAAAAGAGTTTGAAAAGAATATTCATAAGCCATCCTCAATGGTCTTAAAGTTCCCTTATACTTTTTTTTTGAATGCACATTTTGCAGCCATTTGTACAAACTGAAGGATAACAAGGTGTATCCCGTTGTTTACTTGTTTCTTGTCGTGATAATCTGCGATCGGTATTCTGGAAAGTGTCTTTCTTTGGGAATGAGAGCGGAAAAGGTACCATAACCCTATTGGAACTAATCACCATTCCCATTGCGACCTTTTTTTTCTGGGGGGGGGGGGAAGAAAACAGCGCCCGTTTTCCTATTCGGTAAATTTAAAATGTACTACTGGAAAGCTTGTCCCAATGTTCATATGCTACCTTCCACCTGGTTCGGAGTGTCGATCGAAACAGCTAGTTGTCTTCCAGCTGTAGTAGCTGATGGTGTTAAAAAGAAAGGACTGGAACCTCTGAGCGGCATGAGCTGGGATGATGGCCAGACCCGTGAAATATCATTACAAAGCGTCTAATTGCCAGATGGATTTGAAAGAAGGTGGATGTCCCCTCAGGAGTGTTAGAATTCCTATAAGAATTCTAATACATTAGGTTTCTTACAAGATCCTGTAGGATATCTATATTCTACCTATGAGATTCTTTCCGTATCCTTTAGGGTTCCATAGAATATATGGCCTTATTTATCCCTGTCCATTTCACTCAATTATATGATGTTCTTACGTCGGATAAAGTAGTAGTGGAGACGAAACTAAGACATGCGCTTCAAGCAATTGGAGGTGTCTCGCACTCATTCTTCTCAATTTCAGGAAATTCACCTTGACCTTCGCGAAGAACGTGAAGGAACTTACGAAAGGAATATTTGGGAATGTGACATTCCAGGAAATTTTCATTTGGTCGACCCGCTTGACCTTGGATCCCGCAGCATTGCTTTCTTCAAAGGATCGACTGGAGGACGTGTCAATCATGTCCAGCGCCATGGACGAGTTCCCGTTTCATATCCTTCCACAGCTGACCAAGCTGAAAAGATTGGACCTCACTGGCAATCTGTTGAAGAGAGTGCCCGCCCTCGCAAGCCCCAGTCTGGAGATTCTGATTTTTTCACACAATGAAATAGAAAGACTTGAGCCAGGATGGTCCATTCCCCATTTGGTAATACTGAGTATCAGTGAGTTCGATCATGCATTCATTTAGTCGGTTTCTTTGAAGGTTTCAAAGTCTCAGATAAAATCTGTTTACAAATTCATTGAAAAGCGAAGCTCTTGTGGATGGTTGAACCATCTTCGTGCATTCATTAAGTACATCCTTCGAAATGGCGTTAGTTGAATGGCCACAATTAATACTTCCATACTTTTCGTTTTTCGGAATTGTTGGATATGATGCGATTCTGATTCGTCCTACTTTTTACCCCTTAGAATACAACACCATGTCGGGCTTCCCCCCTGGACTGGTCGAGGGAATGAGGAACCTGACGCATTTTGATGCTTCTGGCTGCAATCTGGGACTGATTTTACCGAAGGGATCCCTGACGTTCCAGGGCGAAGTATTGTCAGTAGTGTCTCTAAAACGAAATGAAATCGTCAATCTAGAACGTGGAGCCATCACAGGTAATGTTTCCAATTCCAGTAAACCATCATCATCAAATGAAAAAGCAAAGAACTCAGAAAACGGAGCCTTTAATGAAGGCTCGGGAGTAATAAAACTTAATACTAAAGCAAACTCCTGGGGAAACGAATGACGGCATGCGTGAGACCCGGATTTTTTTGCGGCTAGTCTGGAAACAAAAAGTCCCCAAGCAGCATGTTTACGTAAACAAGATATCAATTCTTTGCAAACAATGTAAATTTATTGCGATTGCCATGAAAATGAGATCACGTAGGGGGTAAAATTTACGTTCCTATATTTACGTCACCAAAGTGTACGTGTATTTTACATAAACACAGGAACGCCTTGTTAGATGGAACACTTCAATTGAATTCGGCCATGGGAACATTAGGAAACGTATTACAGAACACCTCAGAGATCATCACCTGGAACACCTGACGTGTTCCAAAAGTGTTGCGTTAAACGTGTTCTGGATGGTGTTTTTTCAGGTGTTCCGAATCGGAAAATTTTTTACAGTGTAGAACATGGTTAGAATTAGCGTCAGTCAGTCAGTCAGTCACGATCGTCTATATATCATATATTAGATGCAATTGATATTGCCCAATGGTGCAATATGGCATCACAAGTACTTCAGACAATATAAAAATTACTCTGATGCCAATTCTAACTGAATACTCAAACATCTAACCTTAGACTAGAGAGTTTGAGGAATGCCTTCCAAAAAATGCCTTTGATTTTTTTTATACGAGAAAAAGTAACCCAAGTAATCAATGTGAATACCAGTCATGTGCTAGAGCCTAGTAGAAAATTCCATCTTTAGAAGCCAGGAGCAGATAAAATGACTTCCTTTGGTCCCAGCGTCAACGTCATGAAGGAACATGCCCTAAATTCACAAAGTGAAAAACCTAATGAAGTTCTCCGAGAGGGGATTGCCGTTCGTAAGGAGTTGAATATCAGCCGTGAACCTTTGAATTTTCCTGAATATGAAAAATACATTCATACCAATGTATGCAAAATGCATATGAAAACACTGTTAATATTTTCTTCCTCTACACTTTCCGTATGCTGCGCGTATGGGCAAAAAAAAATATTGGGGTTAGGTTTTCCACATTGAAATTGCTGAGAAGGATGAAAGGAATTATGGCTGAAGGGTTGGCACCTAAGTGCTTAATCAAAATCCTTCTATTGACAATCTAGCATGAGAAGAATTGGAATCAGTTGATTGTTCTACCGCAAGGATACTAATTTCTTTCCCCCCCCCCCCCATGACCTAGCTGTGGCTAGTGATGTATGCCCGAATTCTGAAACCCCATTTTGTTAACATTCCTTTAAGAATGTCTTCTTCTAAGGGAAAAAATGAGCACTTTAGCTTAAAGGCTCCTTTATCTCCCATTAATGAGATTTGTACATTAGGGTCCTAACCTTTAAGGTAGGCACAATACGGAATGTTTTCCACGCTGAAGAGTTTTTTTACGTCATTATCATCTGAAAAATACCTAAAACGTTGCTTTTTTGTGAAGCACTGATGAAGTTAAAGCGGACATTTAACTTAACGGCCGTGAGAAGACCAAAGCATTGAAACACCCGGTACTTTAATGGTTAAGTGGACCAGTGAGGAAAAAAAGTATTTCAAAGCCTAATACGCTTTTCTTGCAATCACAAATTACAGTGAAAACGCTGAATATACTGAATTTCGTGTGAAATCGTTTTACAAGAGGAAAAAGTGGCATCAGATTGAATTGTTTTTCATTTCTTGAAGTAAACGGTCTTCATATGACATCAAGCCGAATGTATTTGCCCATCTCGTATGCAGTCTTGATAGTCATCCGTATTCAGGCTTTGAAAAAAGTTCCCGTCGGCACATTGACCTTGCACGGTCCAGTGGAATTGCGGGTTCAGCACCCACCAGGCAATACTGCATCCACAGTCCACGGGATTATCTAGAATGCGCGCGAAGAGGAGTGTCAGCAGAAGCGAAGGGAACTCGGGAGGTCGCGTCAACTCGCTGCTGCATTACTCACCGGACAATTGGATCGTCCCACTTCCCTGCGAGAGGATCTGCACCATCGGGCGAAAAACCTCTTCCGTCAATTCGGTCAATTCATTGTTTTGTAGGTGTATCGTCGTTTCAGGCCCGAAACCTGGAATGAAGGAAGGAGGCGTGTTTATGTGGCACTGGTTGAAAATCGCGCAGGATATTGTGTATGGTGGTCTGAGAATTGATGATTCTCAAAAGAATGCAAATTATGATTTAGATTCATAAACTCACCAGATATTGCATCCGGTTCTATTCTTGAAATCGAGTTACCTGGGAGGAAAATGTTACTTATGCTTGTAGTACCGAATGTTAAAATGCCAGTCGCCAGGGTCGGTCCGAGGGAGCAGCTCTGACAGAAGAACATGTCCAGGTTCCCCAAAACGCTGAAGAATCCAATCGGGATCTCCGAGAGAGGATTGGAAGCTGGATTAAATAGAATTAAATTCGATTCTCACTCTTAAAGTTTATTGTATATGAAACATAATAGAAAAATGAAACAAAGTAAACAAAAATTACTTTGCAAATAGGAACGAATAAATGTCTTACGAAGTTTACACCGTTTTATATAAAAACACGAATATAAAGGACTCTCTTATGCCGATTCTACGCTGTTAACGGTGACAGCGACCTAATAATTTTTACAGTAGGTTGCAGCAAGCAATCACGGCACTGAATGAATCCAAGATGACTATTTCCGTAACGTCAAGGGAGTTTTCTACATTCTTCACCAAAATTCATTCAGATAATTTGCATCGTAATATTCGACGGACAAACGAGGGGGTAACGGTTTGCATGGGCAGAAACTAAATGGATTTTAACATTCTCAGTCTACTATGTTTCAGACAAAGCAGTGCATCCAGGAGCAATACTCACCGTCAATGTCCATAGAAGCGACATTTTTTTCCCATATTCAATCGACGTGTTGAAGAGTGAAATAACGCAAGGATTTTCAAACGCAGGGATATAGGGACATAGCCGTGAATTTTATAATACCGCATGTGATTCTGCACTCACCCATATGGAGGACTTCCAGATTTGGGAGTGATGAAACACTCTCAATGGTCGCTATTTCATCCTGGAAAAGGATGAGTTGCTTCAGACTAGCGCTGTCGAGCCGAGGCAGAGTGGTCAAAGGGTTGCCATAGAGGAATAGATGGGTGAGATTGCTGAACTGAGGAAGGATATCCCAGGGAAAGTCTCCCAGAGCGCTATTGGTAATTTGCAGCTTCCAAATTCGTTCTTTCGAGGGGAGTATAGCCATGGGGTGGATGGCGGCCACGGAAGTGCTGTCGATAGAAATTATACCGAAGGAGACCGCGCCAAATATTCCTTCGGGCAATTCTGTAACTGCGTCGTTTTCGGTCAGAAAGAACTCTCTGAGAACAAAGAAGAAACCAGGGAAAGTGATTTTCGTTCGAAATAATTAACTTCTTGATTGATTCTGAGAGGAGGAGATGAGGGAAAGAATTGAAATTATGGAAAGCTCCAGAAAACTTATGAGGAAAGTCGAAGGCTTTCTTCTGAATTCTGACAGTAGGGAAGACTAAACAAAACTGTCCATTAGCACCCAATGATCATGTTTCCCATTTCCAAAGCATAAGGAGATACAGAAAATATTCTCTTTCCACCATCGAACCTGATTCTCTCCTTGACGGTCGATTCGCTCGCTATTTCCGATTTTGAATTTCATCCCTTACGGAAATGTCCTATAGGAAACCTATAGTTATTTCTTATAGGAAACTTATAGACTTTCCTATAGGTTTTTGAAACACGAAAAACCTATAGGATCCTAAAGGATCCTATAGGATCCCTATAGGGTCTTATAGGTCTCCTGACCTATAGGATTTGGGGAGGATATTTTGGGTTTCGAAACCCTGGCATTACGACGGAAAAGGCGACAGGGGTTAATATTGGCGCAGAATTTCGGAGTAAATAAAAAAAGGATTAAGGGTTCTTCCATGATAGGGACACTTACATTATTAATACGAGTACTGCGAGAGTCTGCATAATTTAAGGCCCGACCCACATATGTCGCTGGATTGCACGCCAACTTCCTTTGATAGAAAGAAGTAGTATTCTTCTCTCGACCTCAGAAAATAGATGACCGAACCTGCGAGCACGTCTCTTTACTGAAACTCCACTTGGATAGTCTACTCAGTTTCGTGAGAGAAAGATGGCGCACGTGACTTGTGTGGGTCTGTGTCTCCTGGTCCTTTTTTCAAGAATCCATGGAACCAAGAGTGAGTTCTGTCAACTGGCTACTCATGGTGACTCTTTTGTGGTCAGTGTGTTTGGGCATTTCGGCATTCAACAACAAACGAGGGTGAAGGACTGTGATTATTGTGGCAGAGATGCCCAGTCAATCTCCTCTCTGAAGATCGCATTTACCTTTTGGAGACCTGGACAGATGGGTTCCGCCATACGCGACGTCCGATGGTTTGTTCTGCTGAATGCACTTCTGATAATCGGCGGAATCGAGCTGAACCCCGGTCCTGGTAAACAGCAGAAAATTACGGATGCCTTCCCCGGATCGAGTCTATCAAGACCTGTAGCGCAAGAAACCCAGTCGTCCAATCATTCAAGGTCGACAGATTCTATCTCTTCATGTGAATCCGAACGTGTCGACCCAGACATCTGTCTCAAGGACATCGCGAAGGTGCTAACCGCAGTCAACAGGAAAATCGACTCACTCGTTGGAAATCAAGAAACTGTGATGAAGGACCTACGGCAGTACACATCAGACTTCTCAGAAATGAAGAAAGAGCAGATTCGTCTAGCAGAGGATAACGCTCATCTTGTCAGACAAGTGCAATATTTGGGGGAGCAAGTTGATCGGTTAGAAGGCCAGATGCGGAAGAAAAATCTTCTGCTTGGAGGAATTCTCGAAGAAGCTCGGAATGAAACCCCGGAAGATTGCGAAAAGAAAGTGAGAGACATACTTGAAAATGTCCTAGGCATTTGTGATAATATCCAATTGGATAGTACCCATAGAATTGGCCGGAAGNATGAAACGTTTATCCTTGCTTATTTACAGAATGCTTCAAATGTGGCAAAATATATTTTTGTGCTTATATTTCCTGAGAGAATACGGCTAAGATGCGACAATTGCCACTGTCGCTGGATTATTAAAAACAGTAGGTTGCAGCAAGCAATCACGGCACTGAATGAATCCAGGATGACTATTTCCGTAACGTCAAGGGAGTTTTCTACATTCTTCACCAAAATTCATTCAGAAAATTTGCATCGTAATATTCGACGGACAAACGAGGGGGTAACGGTTTGTATGGGCAGAATCTAAATGGATTTTAACATTCTCAGTCTACTATGTTTCAGACAAAGCAGTGCATCCAGGAGCAATTCTCACCGTCAATGTCCATAGAAGCGAAATTTTTTTTCCCATATTCAATCGACGTGTTGAAGAGTGAAATAACGCAAGGATTTTCAAACGCAGGGATATAGGGACATAGCCGTGAATTTTATAATACCGCATGTGATTCTGCACTCACCCATATGGAGGACTTCCAGATTTGGGAGTGATGAAANTTTTTTTCCCATATTCAATCGACGTGTTGAAGAGTGAAATAACGCAAGGATTTTCAAACGCAGGGATATAGGGACATAGCCGTGAATTTTATAATACCGCATGTGATTCTGCACTCACCCATATGGAGGACTTCCAGATTTGGGAGTGATGAAACACTCTCAATGGTCGCTATTTCATCCTGGAAAAGGATGAGTTGCTTCAGACTAGCGCTGTCGAGCCGAGGCAGAGTGGTCAAAGGGTTGCCATAGAGGAATAGATNACTTCCAGATTTGGGAGTGATGAAACACTCTCAATGGTCGCTATTTCATCCTGGAAAAGGATGAGTTGCTTCAGACTAGCGCTGTCGAGCCGAGGCAGAGTGGTCAAAGGGTTGCCATAGAGGAATAGATCGGTGAGATTGCTGAACTGAGGGAGGATATCCCAGGGAAAGTCTCCCAGAGCGCTATTGGTGATTTGTAGCTTCCAAATTCGTTCTTTCAAGGGGAGTATAGCCAGGGGGTGGATGGCGGCCACGGAAGTGCTGTCGATGGAAATATGACCGAAGGAGACCGCGCCAAATATCCCTTCGGGCAATTCTGGAACCGCGTCGTTTCCGGTCAGAAAGAACTCCCTGAGAACAAAGAAGAAACCAGGGAAATAGATTTTCGTTCGAAATAATTACTTCTTGATTGCTTCTGAGAGGAGGTGATGAGGGAACGAAGTGAAATTATGGAAAGCTCCGGAAAACTTATGAGGAAAGTCGAAGAAACTGAATATATTATATAATGGATATGAAGTAAAGGATTCCACCGATAAAATAACTGACGTTTCGAATTGATGAAGTAATTCTGACAGTAGGGAAAGACTAAACAAAACTGTCCATTAGCACCCAATCATCATGTTTCCCATTTCCAATGAATGAGGAAGGAGATACAGAAAATATTCTCTTTCCACCATCGAACCTGCTACTCTCCTTGACGGTCGATTCGCTCGCTATTTCCGATTTTGAATTTCATGAGAACTTCACTGTGCTGTTATATCGAGGTCGACATATCTTTATTTTTCCTTTATAGTTGTTTTTCTTGCCTCTTGGCTTGACACTCCTGTTGTCACTGTGGGAAAATAACAGGTGTTACTATCCAATTGCCATTTACTTTCTTTTTCCTTAGTCTGTCCACGGTTTCCATGACTCCCGTACAACTAAGCTCACCACTGCACCCAACCTACCCAGCCAGGCAGTGACTAAAACTTCCAGTACCATCACGGCTGGATCGTAGCAGTCAGTGGAGAAGAGCGACCACTGGTGGCAGCGTGGATGAGGTAGAGAGACCCACTCTCAGACTGTCGCACTGGCTTGTTGCAATTCGCATCCTCTTGTCTCCATGCGGCGTGGACATGCGCACCATATTGAGATCCTTGGGAATGTTCATGTCGGGTACTAAAGGCATTAAATAATTCAAGTCCAAGATGGTTTGAACGAGACAGAGAAAGAAACCCCAAATGTTTCGAGACCAGTGACGTGGCGGACCTGGAGCTATCTATTTCTAAAGGGCATCTATTTCCTCATACATTCAAAGGACATTCGAAAGTGATGAAAGTCTCAGCCTGAATTTCTCGATTACATTTCGATTGAACTTCAATCCCGAGGTTTTACATTAGAGCAAATAAGGAATTTTGCACTTTCCATCCTGATAGACGTGTCTAGTTTTAGTGAACATGACTGAAATGAAGCGAAAAGTGAGATGAAGTCGTCGCCTAATCATGATGACTCACGAGAATTCCAAGAAAGGCCAAACGACGTCATTGAAGGCCGAGTATATGTCGTCGCTCGACGTCGCCAGTGAGCAATCCACAGCAGTTCCGGAGCAATTGCAGGGGAGGATTTCAACTGGATCGGGACACAGGTCTTGCGCGGTCGTCCCGCGGAGCGCAAGGAAGGAGAGAGAGAGGCAGAAAAAGACGAAGCAGTGCTGCATCTCGATGGCGACCGATTGAGGTATGGGAATGGAGCTGGCGAGCCACGGTTCGGATCCCCTAGGTGCCTCTCATTCGTGGAGGTTTTTTTCCTCGATTGTGGGAGAAGCAGCACTTGCGCTTCCAATGGCAAACGATAACGGTCTGTACTCGCAAATGATAACGGTCTGAATATGGTGGGGCCGAGTCTTCTTGCGTGCGGATCTAGCGACGTGTTCAGAGTAATTATGATCCTTGAAATCCAGTTAAGTGCTCCTGGTACTGCTGTATGTTAGTCCGAGATGACACCATACACACAACAAAGTAGAAACATACAAGGAGGTACAAACGCATGACGAAAAATGCGTTCGTTGAAAAGGCCTCGAAGCAAAATAAGGTATACATGTTTACCATTCTCATCTCAATTCAGAAGGTACGTATAGGGTAATTTTTTTAGGATCCCACATGTACCTCATTTCGGGCTCATGGGCGTTAGAGAAACCTGCTAATGAACCTCAATTTTCAGCTTTGAGGAGCTTAGAAGTAAGCCCTAATGACACCTTCATATCCCACCGCGTCTCCTGCAGTCGGCAAACTGTCACAGATAACACGGTGACAACTTGGCAAGATCTCCACGATGCCGTACGACGTGCCGACTGTCTGATAAACGGCACTTTTTCCTGTTATCACGGAGACAGTAGGTAGCAAGTCTGCACTATTTTAAAGGACAATATTAATGTTTATTGAAAGTTGTCCACTAATTTTTTCAAGAGTAAAAACTCCTG